CCAGGCTAGAAAGTCTACCCTACTATTTAACTCATTGAAAGATTTATTTCTCTTTGCCTGGTTGTCAGCCAAGACGAGAAAGTCTATCCTGCGATTTTACTCATAGCTACGTGTAGAAAAGATGAATTCATACATTTCCCAAGATTTTTTTTTTTTTGCTAAAGTGAACAAACATATTAGACTGGGATTCGAACGCGGCTCGTTGATATTACTTTTTGTGTCGATAATCGCTCCACTACAAACATACACTACATGAGACTACAAGGGACCGAAAATTATTAAATGAGGATTCAGAAAAAAAAAAATCAATGAATAACAATATCAGGCTATGGATTTATTGATCCGTCTGCGTATATATATATATATATATATATATATATATATATATATATATATATATATATATATATATATATATATATATATACAGTTGCGGACAGCGATAAAAATGATAGCCATATTCGCCATTTAAAATCCACCTTACGGAACACTGGGAAATATCCTCTAAAACATAAAACAGATTCGCATATCCCATACATACAAATACGCGAATAGACGTATTTTATTGCCACAAAAAGAAAACTTAAATCGAACGTAAAATGAAGGGGACAAAGATATAAAATCTTTATTATATGCCATGAAAGGTAGAAACCGGTCTTAAATTCTGTAGTAAAATGAATTTGTCAACACTTGCCTTACTGGTCTGTCCAAATGAGTCTTGCTTATCGAACGCTTGTAACAAACACTTAACTACGAAAGAAAAATAATAAAAAAAGGAGACACACTAGACAGAACACTGAGAGAAAAAAAAGTATCCACACGATGCTGCTATCTACACAATACAGAATTACCCCTTATTGTCCTACCAGCATCATTTTATTCTAGTATGTTTGCATATCTCGTTTGTTTGTGTTGAAATGAAAAAAAAAATACTAGTAAAAAAGGAAGGGAAAAAGTATTTTACCATGTTCAAGAACTCCCAGAGCAGCTGTAATTCCCTGAAAAATAATAAAATACGAGAAAAGAAAAAGATAAAAAAAATGGTAAAAAAAAGTTTTTAAAAGAAATCCGGACAGAATTGCATGTTGATGCGCATGTGTATTGACTTCAGTCTTATATCACTACGAATGTAAGAGATGATGTTGACTGAATCGATCAGTTAATATTGGCCAGCCGCGAACATGAAAATATCAAGTGAACAATATATATATATATATATATATATATATATATATATATATATATATATATATATATATATATATATATATATATATATTCACACACACACACACACACACATATATATATATTGATGCATAAAATAAAATTAGTTATGTTTTCGTATTGGCAAGTGTATGATAGAAAACTCTATCTAAATGACGACATCGACTGCTATGCGTAGAAAATGGACGGATTCAATAAAATAAGGAAAATGTCTATGCCGTTGTTCCTGAAACTGTCCTTGCACACTGTTGAGCGTTCTGATTGATGTTTACATGGCCAGAGCACGATGTTCTGAAGATATGAATTAAGCCGGACACTAAAAACAGCCGACTGCCTGGAAACTGGAGTATCTTAATAAAGACCCCGGCTACAAGCATTGCTTTCTTCCACACTGCCTCTTTTATCATCGTCTCATGTGTGTTACATGTGTCATGCCTTTGTCACGTCTTCGTCAGTATGAAATAATAATAATAATAATAACAACAATAATAATAATAAATATACGTGATTAATTCTATCTCTCTAAGTCTGTTTCCATGTTTTTTCTTATTGATCTCCCATTTTCCTTTACTTCACGTCGTTCTTTTTCGTTCATTTTTAATCTGCTATCTATCTATCTATCTATCTATCTATCTATCTATCTATCTATCTCATTTATTTCTTTTTTCTTTCTTTCTTTCTTTCTTTCTTTCTTTCTTTCTTTCTTTTCCATATCTACCTTCGATCGGTGATGCGTATTGACTTGCACTACTCACCCCAAATCGCCATAACTAGAATTACTAAATCTTTTAGTACATCTACTTTTTGATGAGAAAGCCTCCTTCGCACTTAACACTTTTTTATGGTCATTGACCTCCGATTTTCCTTTACTTCTAGTCATACTCTCTCGATCTGTCTTTCTCTCTCTTTCTCTCTCTCTCTACACACACATATATATATATATATATATATATATATATATATATATATATATCTCAATCAGTCCTTTCCTACCGCCGTAATGTTTCTCAACAGTCACTTTCCTACCGCCGTAATGTTACCTCTGTGTTTTTTAAGGTTACCTCACTGTGTTATATATATATATATATATATATATATATATATATATATCTCAATCAGTCACTTTCCTACCGCCGTAATGTTACCTCTCTGTGTTTTTTAAGGTTACCTCACTGTGTTATATATATATATATATATATATATATCTATATATATCTCAATCAGTCACTTTCCTACCGCCGTAATGTTACCTCTCTGTGTTTTTTTAAGGTTACCTCACTGTGTTATATATATATATATATATATATATATATATATATATATATATATATATATATCTCAATCAGTCACTTTCCTACCATAATAATGTTACCTCTCTGTGTTTTTTAAGGTTACCTCACTGTGTTATATATATATATATATATATATATATATATATATATATATGAATATGTCGCACATTTAGTGCTGGTGCTAATAAAATATCGCTCGATATATAACAGAGCTCTAAATTATAATAATAAATATACGTTGTTTTCCTCATTGGTCACAAAACTTGGGATTTCATGCACAAATTAGAGTTGTGCTACCGGTATACGGACTATTATCTTCATCATTGTTGATAAGATAGTAGTGCAAAATGATAATGTAAATGATAATTCCTCACCGAATAAATTCTGACGAAAAGAAATTATCGCACCCCCTCATACAGTTATATATATATATATATATATATATATATATATATATATATATTGAACAACAATTTTTGTTATCAAATTCATTTCAGAATGGTTTGATATTAGAAGTTGAAACTCACAACATATATTATTCATCTAAAACATCTGTTGGGTATTAGCAATGCAAAAGCAAAAACACTGATTTCCATATTGAAAGTTGATAATGTTTATTCAGGAATTGCAAACTCTTCGATTTATCATTATTTGTTGTAATCTCTCTCTTTCTCAGGATATATATTAGATTATTGCAAAGGCTCTTACCTGATTAAAAATTAAAATGACAATACTCACAAAAACATTTATTAGTCAAGTATATAGATTCCATTGTTTAAAACAACTTTCTCTCATCGTTCAAAAAGCTTGTTGTTGCCATTTTCGTAAATTTTGTGTTTTTTCTTGGAATAAGGTTGTGTGGTAGTTTTCGATTGACTCTACAGAGTATCAAATTTTCTATTATTTAAATTGTAGAGACGGGAACCAATGGAAATTCGAAAGAAGTCATATCAGGAGAACACGTTGGGTAAGCGCCTACAAGGTCGGTTTTGCAACACGAAGTATTGAGCTGCCAAGATGGAAAATGAAATCTTTTCAATTTGGCATAATCGCCCATTTTCTTGAACAGCGACATTGAGATTGATGAATTCAGAAGCTCAAAGTGAATTATCCCTCTGCAATCCTACCCACAAAAGTACAGCAACACCTTCATTGGATGCAAGCTCGTTTTAGCCACGAGTTCCACACATTCACAAGCTTGTTCCCAGTTCCATTTCTGTTGAACATTATCGTAAATGATTCATTTTCTATCGTCTACTACAATTATTTCCATAACGGCACCTTTTTGTTACGCATTGGCAAAGAACTAGACACAGAAACATGATCAAGCTTGTTTTGTTCCGTCAGAAGATGTGGCACCCATATGTCGAGTCTGAAAACGAAGCTGTATCATAAAATGGCTACATTCAGGTGAGATGTCGATTTTCAGATTCTTAGTAATCTCTTCCGTCGAAATATTCGGTTTATTCTCGACGATGACATACAGAATGTCTTCATCGCACGTGGCGTAGTTGATCGTTAAAATCTCATTCACAAAATCTGCCAAACTTCTTTTTGACTGTTTGTAAATCTAAAGCACGACCCAAATAAACCTTCTGAATGATTTTTTTGTCGCAGTTCCGACGCTTAATCCATTCTATTAATTTTATCCTCCATCTTTAAGGTATTCATTTGTGGACAAAACGTTAACATTCAACAAACTTTGATTCGCAGTTGAACGATGTAAGTTTTAGTCTAGATCACACCAGAAAACGGCACCAAAACAGATATTAACTTCAAGTTGGGATCATTTTACATTAACAATGAATATCAGGCTCGAACTATTGCAATGATCTTAGATAAGTACATATAAAGCTTATAGTTCTATGAACTTTTTATTTTGCTATATTACGAATGATTCTCAGTGACTTGCTTAATTCGTAAAACCTTTCTGCGTTCCCTCTCCTGTTTGGTACTCTTCCTCTTAGTCTACATCTGTTTGAGTTTGAGAATAAAATATTTTTCATTTATGTATATATGCACATTTTCACAAGACGTGCGCTAGAATGTATAGAAATATACATGGGTGTTTTATGTTCGCTTATGAATCAGTGCTGTCCTGTTCTCGCCCCCCCTCTCTCTCTCCTTCTCTCCCTTCTTCTCTCTCGTTACCGTCAAACCAACTCCTCTCATATGTTCTTTATTTTCGCGCGCGGAAGTTGATCCAATTTTGCATTCGGGTCCCGGAGTCAGTTCAGGCAAATATTTAACCGACTCTACACGCGGGAAAAGCGGAAAGCGAAGAAAACAGATAAAATCTGCAAATACACGAACAAAACATTGGCTACAAGTAACCTTCAAATCATCCCCTGACAGATGTCACCCTTGTTAATGGGAGACTTTTCTTTCTTTTTTTTGTTTTTTTAAATTATCTATTTTGGTAGAGGTTCCGCTACGAACTTGGTTCGAATGCTTTCCGCTGAGAATTGTATGTAAACGACGTCAAGGGGGACGCTGATTGGGAGTGCATGAATTATCTGGAACAGCCAAAATGAAGACTAGCTCAAAAAAAAAAAAGGAGATCGAGGAGGTTTCTGAAGCAGGAGTAGGGCCATGACTGAAAAATGGGCATAAATGAAAGAAAAAAGAGTTATGACCGACAGAATGGACATGAATGAAAGAAGAGCCATGAGAGAAAGAAGAGCCATGATTGAAAGAAGGGACTTGAATGAACGAAAGAAGGGACACGAATGAAAGAAGGGACACGAATGAAAGAAGGGACATGACTGAAAGAAGGGAGATGAATGAATGAAAGAAAGAATGGACACGAATGAAAGAAGGGACACGACTGAAAGAAGGGACATGACTGAAAGAAAGAAGGGACACGACTGAAAGAATGGACACGAATGAAAGAAGGGACACGAATGAAAGAAGGGACACGACTGAAAGAATGGACACGAATGAAAGAAGGGACACGACTTAATTTGATTTTTGCTTATCAATATTTTGAGAGAACCAACCTTTATGAAATATTTAGTGTTCTGCTACCCCAAAATTGTCTTGAGGATTTAGACCATTATTCGATTAATACGGAATCACTGAACGGCTATTTTATTGGAGTACGAGAAATTCAGCGAGAAGCTGGAATGATTTTTTCTAATCAATGAATTTCAAATTTGCTTTTCGTAAGAATAGATCTCCAGTTGGAAGCGATACAGAAAACGACAATCTAAGAAAAAAGACAGGAACAGAATTAAGAAACTTATTAGTATATTACATAGACTCATGCAGGATGCTCTGGATTTTGTAGTCGCTTGGTAAATCGTTGTTTGGTAAATAGATACGAGTGTGTCTATACGAGGCTGTGAGGATCACGCATAAATGTAATGTCGTATTTCGGCTTTGGAAAGCAAAGGAGAATTGATAAAATGAATTCATCGATTCTGGTTTGATTCGACTGTCCGTGTTCTTATATAAGTATGCTAGGGAAACAAAGACATCCGTTTTGAAACTACCGCTTGGCTTCTGATTGGTTCCCGAGCCGTGAACGCATATCCCAGTTATGAACAGATCTTGTCTCAGATTGACTAACTAGATTATAACTCTCGGAAGTTTGTTTAAACCGTTTCTTGGTGGTTTGTGGAAATAAGACGTCATTGAGTAGATATTCCAATTTTTTTTTTTTTTTAGAAATTATCAAATATTAATCTCCTTGTTATTATTTATTCCTTTTTATCGCCACAAAATCACTGCTATTATAGAGATGTTTCAGTCATAATATCAGTATGATTGATTTGCTTGTTTAACGGCACCTCGAATCTTTATTGGCTATTCATTGTCGAAACTTAACTTTCTTGGGAGTTTTGAAGTAATAAAAATAGGATATATGTTATTCTGCTTTCACAATTCAATGCATGGTAGATGATACTCAGCTTTTGTGCTTATATATAGTTGTGTGAACATAATTACTAAAGTTGGTGATATATGTATTTTTGTTGTATTTTTTGTATAGTTATATTTTGGAATACAATTTGATTACTTTAAGAAATGATATTATATGGATTAATGTCATGAAGAATTCATTCATGTTGGTTGGGTTATTTAATGCCGAAATGAAAATATTCTGAACATAATTTTACGCTTTTTAACTAAATTTATTTTGAACGCAATTGTATCCCTTTAACTACAGATAAAATATATTGTTAGTAATCATACTATAAACTGTATTGCTGGTCATTTTGATTTAAAATTCTATTGTTGGTAATTTTACTATAAATATGTAATTCTGGTATTTTTTTTAATATAAAATGTATTTTTTATACTTTCATAAATTTTTTTTTTTGGAGGTGGGTCACTATTTGTCCGTGGCT